TACATTCCAACAGCTTTACAAACATGTGCGTGATGCCAAAACGCCAATTTTTGCCAGCGACATAATGGTCTTGGGAGAACAGGTAACCATAGATGTGTACCACAGCTTGTGAGCATTCCATTGAGGGAAATCAGTCGTATGATGACGACCTTGGCATTATAGCAAATATTTCGGCAGACATGAACGCCAGTCCTCAGTAAACCTATCAGGGTCTCTTTGAAGACGAGTCTGATCAGTTCTGTAGGGAAGTCCTCTTTACAAATCACCAAATAAACCTGTCTTGGCTTGCTAAAGCTACTTCACACAACAGATAGCAGCCATACAGTTTAGCTAGGAAGTGTTGCTTGCTTTTGAAGGGTTTTTCAGACTTGCTGCCCCTACCTTGTGTTAAGTCTATTTTTGTTCTATATTATCATTGTGTAAACCCTTGAGATTACATGAATCTGTTTAATGATATTGGCACATCATGATTTTTTTCGTCTCCGTACATCGAGTAGCCTCGTTTCAGTCATGAAATCACGACTGTACGAAGAGCTTCCTGTACATCACAGAATCAACACCAACTTCATCGTGCAAGTGCATCTCACCTCCAACAATTGTCTCCTTTCAGTCAAAAACTATTAAACTTTCGCTATCTGCCGTTATCCCTTGTAATCACCTGCCTGCGGAGACCTCTATTTACTGTAAACAAGGCACTCTTGAGATCATCCCTCTAACACCAGATTATAGATCAACCTCTGGCTTAAAGACCAACCCTTCATTTACAAAAGCTCTAAATCACACAAAGTTACTCTTCAAAACCAAGCATGAGTCTTTTGTCAACCACATCCTCGTAACGAAACACTGCTATCCTACACCCGATAAAAGAAATTTAAGGTTTCATACATAAAAAAGGATGAGGAATTTAGGGCAATTTGGTCTTGATTTTTTATAAATGTATTTAGAGCTGATTCACCATGCCCAATGATAGTTTAAAAGTGTGCCTAGGTGACCCTTCAGTGTTTAGTCAGGCCTAGGTGTCCCCTCACTGTTTAGTCAAGCCTAGGTGTCCCCTCACTGTTTAGTCAGGCCTAGGTGACCCTTCATTCAGTGTTTAGTCAGGCCTAGGTGTCCCTTCAGTGTTTAGTCAGGCCTAGGTGACCCTTCAGTGTTTAGTCAGGCCTAGATGACCCTTCAGTGTTTAGTCAGGCCTAGATGTCCCTTCAGTGTTTAGTCAGGCCTAGGTGTCCCTTCAGTGTTTAGTCAGGCCTAGGTGTCCCCTCACTGTTTAGTCAGGCCTAGGTGACCCTTCATTCAGTGTTTAGTCAGGCCTAGATGACCCTTCAGTGTTTAGTCAGGCCTAGGTGTCCCTTCACTGTTTAGTCAGGCCTAGGTGACCCTTCAGTGTTTAGTCAGGCCTTTTATTCCATCCTGTGATTAGTCTGCTGAAACTTAATGGGCCCAAAAGTATTGAGTTCTCTTCAAGACAACCCCATCAGCACAAAATTTTGGATGTTGAAATGAAGCAAGTTTTCAACAACAATCCTAAATAAGTAAGACCTCATTTTCTTTTTGAATTTTGGTAGTGAAGGGGCAAGAAACCAGCAGATAAAAGTTCTCTATATATGATAGTACAATGTATCAGCTTCTTGACCAAGAATCACCGGAACGATGTGCATGATGTCCACAAAATCACTATCGTCTTGAATAAGTTCTCATGGAATTGCTGTCAGTTACAATGAAATCTCACCAAATCACTAGATCAACAACAGATTCTCATAGCATTGCTGTCAGGTACAATGAATTCTCACCAAATCACTTGANTTAAGCAAGTTTTCAACAACAATTCTAAATAAGCAAGACCTCATTTTCTTTTTGAATTTTGGTAGCGAAGGGCAAGAAACCAGCAGATAAAAGTTCTCTATATAGGATAGTACAATGTATCAGCTTCTTGACCAAGAATCACCGGATCGATGTGATGTCCAAAAAATCACTGTCGTCTTGAATAAGTTCTCATGGAATTGCTGTCAGTTACAATGAATTCTAACCAAATCACTTGATCAACGACAGATTCTCATAGCATTGCTGTCAGGTACAATGAATTCTCACCAAATCACTTGATCAACGACAGATTCTCATAGCATTGCTGTGGCTTCCAATGATAGCATATTTTGGCGGTGTAGTTGGCAATGAGCAGCAAAACTCTAAAGGACAAACACTGAAGAAAAAATATTAAAAATCAGAAAATAACTTGTGTGTGGTATTGTGTTTTGAAGTGATGCAAAGGATTGTATAGGTACAAACTGGGGAACGGCACATGAAATGGAACAGTTCCAGGTTGGTAAATGAACAATGTCAAGAGAAAACATCTGTCCACTTGTGAGAACAGCCAGCAACCTTGTGTGCATACATTTATGTGTTGTTGCAGGCCCTCTTACTAAGGGTCAATGGCAATAAAGGGTAATATAGCGCAAACATATCTGTCATCTTGCTGCCGTTAGGACTATAGTCTAGGAACACTACATGAGTAACTGCAGTTTAAACTGTCCCAAAAAAACCATCTGTGGTACTAACCATGAAACATATTAATCATTCGTAGATAGATTTTCAACGAGGGGAGTAATTTGTGACAATTGTGCGCTGAAGTGATTCAGTAATGTTGGACATACCTAGGACAAGAGGAGATAACTCAAATCATGTAGTGAATAATCAGTTGGTAGACAAACCTTTGACGCGGGAACAGATAACTGACCCAAATTTATACGCAAAGGGTATATATATCCTATCAATAATCTAATAAATATTCTATTAATCCTTATGAAATAACAAGTCCACTAAATAATGATACTGTTGCAATCAAGAGACACCAAACAGTTTTAAGAACAAGATAGAGGTTTTTTAAAGATGGAACAAGATGGAGATATTTTTTGAGAAGGAACAAGATGGAGAGATTTAGAAGGATTGAACAGGTTGTAAGTACTTAGGAGAGATGAAACAAGATGGAGAGATTTAGAAGGATTGAACAGGTTGTAAGTACTTAGGAGAGATGAAACAAGATGGAGAGATTTAGAAGGATTGAACAGGTTGTAAGTACTTAGGAGAGATGAAACAAGATGGAGAGATTTAGAAGGATTGAACAGGTTGTAAGTACTTAGGAGAGATGAAACAAGATGGAGAGATTTAGAAGGATTGAACAGGTTGTAAGTACTTAGGAGAGATGAAACAAGATGGAGAGATTTAGAAGGATTGAACAGGTTGTAAGTACTTAGGAGAGATGAAACAAGATGGAGAGATTTAGAAGGATTGAACAGGTTGTAAGTACTTAGGAGAGATGAAACAAGATGGAGATACAATATGGTCAATCCTCTGCAGTACTTTATTACTTCATTTTCGTCTTTGGGTTCTTCTATATAGAACACATCTGAGAGGGGTCTAAAGCAGGAGATAGCTTCCTAATTATGAGTCCCCCAATTTGTAACACGACCCAACAGCCCTTTAGTAGGACAAACAAACTTAATTGGTGCATATCACAGCAGATATCGGTAAATAAAACAATGAAAGGGCTGGTGAGGGGCGACCCTGCCAAAAATTATGTTGTTGGGAACTACTAAGGAATGGGTCAGCACATTATTCTCATTAACCACACGTCGTCCTAGAAGTAAACATCATTAAATATGGTGCTATACCCTGATCCATCTCTCATCTCCCGAGGTATCGGTATTCCTTGGTGCATGTAAGAGTTCCAATAAAGGGGCATTACAGACATGATAAAAGATGAAAGATTTCAGTCCAAAGTAAATAATTAATGGACTCGCAAATAATTAGAAATTTACTTTAGATTTATGGAAACATTAATTTTCGTTGATAAATGAATATATACCTTAGAGAATCCTTACAAACAAGTGGGTTACTCGTTAAAGTAAAGACGTTTTTAAAGATTCCAGCACTAACAAGAATAAGTTCACTTTCCATTTCTTGTACAAATTTCATGTATGTAGGCACCAAAATGTTTTGTGTGTGTCACTTCTACTTTAGCTTATAAGACAGAAAATGCGGAAAGTTAGAAAATCTACTCATGTGGTTATACTCGTACACTCTCCGATTTTGTTACTGGGAATATTTGAGGGTGATTTAAGAGTATTTCTGACTGATGGTTAGCAGTACTTATCGGACAATAATATCAAAATGAGAGTTTGATTGGAAAACGTAGACACTGCCAATCAGCTCATTGGAACCATTTCCCCACAACATCAGCGTTGGCCACTATCAACCTTCCTCGAAGAATCTACTAGTTATCTTGTTTTAGATAAGGCATTGTTCTAAAACTACATCGTTTGGAAATACATAAGTATGACATAAATACCAAAAACTGTATATGTTGGCATGTATGTTGGCCTGACTATTGTGTACTTGCTTTCACAAAATTATCAAAGAAATGGTTAATTACTGGATCCCTGGTTGAACTCTCAAGCAGTCACATCATGGCTAGAGAAGAACTCAAGTAAGACCAGCTGGTGTCTATAACAAACTGAAAATTGGAAGTTTATCAAAGCTCTCAAACTTGTCTTTGATAAAAGGGAATAGTTAACACCTAATATATACTGGGATAAAGAGCCAGCAATATACCAGGCAAAACACCCATCCCCTTATCATCACGTTATCTCGACAAATTAGACGGCGAAATTAGACTGAGAAAAAACATTCTGGTATATATCTACAACTTTACAAACATGGCTTATCATGGGTGATTATTAAAATTTAGAACCATGGGTGACTTAACAGAGAATATGTGAATTTAAAAAGCATTGAAAGCAATTGATGTCATGACATTCCTTGTCATAGAAGACATCAAATTCAACGACAACAAATCTGGATTAGTGCAGTAATCGGTTGCTGTGTTCCTTGAAAGAGGATATCCCATTTTTCAGAATTTTACTCTTCCAAGTAAGATCTGAAGAAAACTGTATAAAGAAAACAAAGACGCAACAAAACACGAATAGTAATATAAAATGTAGACTTACGTCAACATGTGTTGGGAGCTGTCACAATCTGTGGCCGTGCTTGTACAGTGTTTGGACCTGTAAAGATAATCGGAGGAAAAGTCCAGGTTTATAATCCAGCACACACACGTGTAACCTTATACATTAATTTACATCTAGTTAAATATTCCAGGGGTACACACCTACGATAAAATCATCTCCTGCTCATAAACAGATGGTCTCGCAAACGTACAGCCAGTATTTTTTGTCTCCCTTTAGTGCTTTATTGGAAGAGTTTAAGTTGGTACAAAGGAAAGACTGTATACATAAATGAACTGTTTAAGTTGATAAAAAGGAAAGATTGTATACATATAGAGGTACTATAAATGAACTTTACTGAGCATCAAAATGAGGTCGTTTATTTAATCAACGCTTTAATTTGTCAGTGATATGGGATTAATTTTCAATTAATGTGCCCCTTGACTAAAATTGCTCAAAGCGTCAAAATGAACCATAAAATCTACAACTGAAAGTATTAACTCATCACCCTTGACATTTTTGAATGAACTATTCCAACCTTTGAATTGGAGAAGTTCAAATGTGTCTTCAGGGGTGAATTGAGTTAATAATTACTAATATTCCATATCTTTCTTGTGGTTCTTCAGCCATCTCATCTGCAAGCAACGCTGCTTCACAGAAATGCACAAGAAACCAAGAAGCAATTTGTAATCAAAATCACATTTTTTTTCATGGTATTCACTTCGTTAATGCTCTGGGGACTTATCATTTTAAACATCTCATAAAACTAAATATGCAATAAACACATTGCTTTAACCATGGAGAAATGCACATATCTCATTCATCCAGTGGCGGGAAACAAGTTGTGGCGGAATGGGGAGGGAAACAAATAATTTCAAATTTCTGGATTCATTTACGATCAAAGAGATTCAGTAACATTAAGGTACATAGGGGGTAATTATGATAACCGCAATACACATTTTATTGCCATATGCTAGCTAGCTGGATTCCAAATACACACACCAGATACACACTCCTCCACAAAATTGACTCCTTTTGATTTTCATTGCTCCAAGGGGTTTTCAACTTTGATTTCACCGCATTTTTTAAAAGATAATATTTACTTCAATGATTTGATATCTTGCATCACTTTCCATAGAAATTCATTATCTCTTCATTGTCCTCTGGCATAGATTCTCTGTTAATCAACTTAAGGAAACTTGCTCCGGCTATTTTCTCCCTTGGCTGGGAGTTTGACAGAAAGATGATAAAAACATTATCCTTTGTTTACTTTCTTTAACAAATGTCACAGAAGAGGAATCATATTTACAAGTAATATGCAAGATGAAAGAAAGGCATATGCTATAAGCACAATATTAATGAATTATCTTATCAGATAATGAGATCGCAGCATGGTGAAAGGAATGGGCTCCCTTAAGCATGCACAGGTGTGACGACATTGCAGATTATGAAAACTATCAGCCAATGTAAACTTAACTTCAACATGAAAGAGTTCCAAATCAAGATCACAGAGGTATAGCGCTCACCCTTTTTATCAGCATTACGAAAATTAAACATATTTTCTCCGGAGTATTCGTTTGATTTTTTTCGGCCTTCCATCCAAAATACATTGTTTAATTGTCCACATTAGAAGGAAATAACACAGACAATACATAACCCTCGCTCTTAGTGCAGGAAAAACCCATACAGAAAAAGCAATGGTTAAATTCCTGATCAGCATCCAAAAATACAATGTTTCTACATCAAACACAGATATAAATACAAGATGGCCGACATGTGTAACTCGTGCTGGAATTTTAAGTTTACTTGCTGCGAATGATCAACTGAATAATACCAGTAATAGGAAACATGCACATACAGTACTAGATTACGTTTTTTCTCTCCATTTAATCCTACACTATATTACAAAACATTCAATTCCCACTCAGGCCTCTTTAAACTTTTGACAGGATTTTGAAATCCATTACGGCCAATTTTGTAGGCTCTAGGGCAACGTTTTGGTCCACCATGCTACATGTGATCGAGAACGGATTGACAAGTAAGAACCGCGACAACTCCTTCCCTCTTCTTTATGCCAGAGTGATTTACATGCTGTTGTTGCTGTCTGTAGCTGGCAGAATCTGTCTGTAATTCTCACTCCGCTAATTCCATTCTACTAAGGGATGTTTTTATTTTGCCTCCTTCCACCAATCAAATGCAGATTCGTAGATTACAGTGTGCACTTTTATCGGGATGATGCAGTGCTTACAAGAGCCTGGTGACAAATAACTACACCTCCACATGTTTATTAGCAAGTTGCATTTGAGATGGGGGAGGCTGTTTAGTAAATATAAAGCCTTTTGTTGGTTATGATGTCTTGTGGTAGACCACACTTTACGCTAGTTTATTTATAAGTTATTCCTATGCTTCATTGTTGCGCAGAAATATGTGTAATAAAAGGTGCTGTAGAGGTCCTTTTTGCAGTGGGTTTGAATTTTGTTATTTTGTTCCCCCTTAAAATGGATGAATTTGTGGATTTCCAAAATGTTTAACTTCGTTTTTTGATGATGCAATCTGTTGTTTCCATACTGTGACTTTGATTAAATTGAAGGAAGAAAAAGTGACAAAAATGATACAAAGGTGGAAAGAAGGCAAAGAAACCACATAGGGTTTATAAAAGGATTGAAACACAAGCACATATGAAAAGGTAAATAATTGATAAAATTTAACCTTACAAAACCAACAAGACATCCTTGAATTTTACCAATATCATTAGTATGACAATGAACCCTATCAAAACCATAATGATAAACTTTATCTTGCAAAGGCCATCTAGATAACCTTCAACTTTATCAAAACCATTAATATAATACTGCACCCTATCAAAAAGCCATGCAGATAGACTTAACCTTACATAGTTCAATAAGGTAAACTTGAACTTTATCAAAACCATTAATTTAATACTGCACCCTATCAAAAAGCCATACATATAGACTTAACCTTACATAGTTCAATAAGGTAACCTTGAACTTTATCAAAACAACCAAGACAAACATTCAACCTTTCCCCTTTCACAGAATCAGTAAAGACAATCTGTTCTGTTAGATTCATGCTCTTACCCCGACTTGGATTAACAATATACTTCTCTGCCAAAATCAGATCTCTACAGAACCAAGACACAGTTAATATCATCCCATGCTATAGATGATACACATCATTCTAGTTTCATGCACTAAATTTGCACTACAAGATAAATTGTGAAGACAAAGGTGGACAGAATTAGGCAGATGACTTGCTGAACAGCTGTTTGCTGTATGTGTATGTTTCCAAGACGTTGGTTTAACCTACAAGATTACCAAAATGTGCAGTAAAGAAACCCTTCAAACACTGATTAAAGTCGCCAGCCGAATATCCTCCATCATTTGAAATATTTACATTACCAGGAAAGGCACATGGTCTGCAGGAGGGTCTATTACAAATTACGCAATATATCCACATCAATTTTTCATAATTAGGTCTTGTGTTGACCAGTAAGAAGGTGTTGGGGCCATTTCTAATAGACTTTTATGTCAAAGGTTACCCCTACCATAGCAAAGTACAGGAAGCCAGCGTTAAGGCTGTATATATCTTCGCGTGAATATCCAAATTTCACTCCACAGAAAGTCAAGGTCTGACCTGAACCCTTGGTCTGCTGTTCGCTCCAACAAAATAATTCAACTTCAATATGTACAACTCATCAAAATTCCCATCCAACATTTTGACATACAGATGACCCTTATTTTGAAACTCAGGCTTTTTTTATTTGTATTGACCTTGAAATAAGAGTTGAAGATATGTGTGTCAACTTCAAAAGATTCTCGTAGAAGGTCAAGGTCTCGTAGAAGGTCAAGGTTTCCTAACCATAATGTATGTAAATCTAATGTTATAACCTCACCATCAATTGTCAATATTTGGACCTTCGACTGTCTACCCTCTAGGGAATACAAAATTGCTGGGCTTGTATTTTGCACATTTTTTGTTAACAACAAATCATTAACTTAATGTTGATGTATAATAATACAGACATTACAAAACATATTAAAATATCAAAAGATTATATAATTTTGTTATTTTTATTTCCATTGAATAAAATGGAAATTTATGTTATATTGCTATCTTAATTTAATACTTTTGTTTTTTGTAGTACAATTGCCTCCAATGAAACGCTCCGGTAGTTTTTGTTTAAGCAATCATTGTTAAATACACTTGTAGTTTATTATGTCATTAGTCATATAGGGTTCTTTAGTATGTTAACTACGTAGGGCTACATTCCCGTATCCCGGTTGAATCGGTTCAAATGGCGCAAAAATATTCCATGATAAACGAATGCATTTGGACTGAACTATAGGCAGAGCTAACAAATGCACAGTTTCGGAGAATAAATAACAATATATCAAGAATAATATGTCCTTCTTTCATGTGTCCACTAAATTATACGTGTCTTAAAATCTACATGTGGCTTGACCTTGTTTTATAAAGAAATAACGGCAGGCATGTCTGGACCCCTCAATCTACATGTGCCGAATATTCCCGAGTTTAGCCTCAGTTCAGATCTGTGCCTGTCATTTTCTTTCTAGGTTCAACCGTTAGGGGCCCAGGTAACAAATGTATAAACATCTAAAACCTTGATAGGGAGTGGTCTCTTGTTCATTAGTCGCTGAGACAGAATGGAGACCTGCTGTCCATAAAAACACCAAAAAAAGCCGTAGTTGGGTACATTTTTTCACTTACACATCTCAGCAACACCCCATGTTACAGAGATTATCCAAACTCCAAAGTCATATTTCCCATCCAGAAGATCCATTTCATTCAATAACCACAAAGTTTGACAATTTCAAAGCATTTCATCTAAACCATAATAACATCACTCAATGACATAATCCAATTTTACCCGTCCATTTTTTGTAGGATTCGGTGCATTTCTACCGCCAATTAGCTCCACACTGGTAACTTATCGGCAAATAAAAACCATTAAAACCCAAACCCAGTTAATCCATGGTTCCAATATGTATTGAAATGTTAGAAGACTGTATTCAGTGTTT